AATGTACATAATTAGCTTTATGATATTGTGTTGACACAAACATGCGCACAATTGCCATGGTACATTGACCGAGACATACATTGATCATGCAAATAATTAGAAAAAATTCGGGTCAACAACCACCATCCTTAAATTCTATGGTGCTTTAACAAGCAAGGTTCACAGTCACGTTCACCATTAGGGAGAGTGAACCAAAGAGTATAAGCTCCCATTCGACATTATGAGAAATCTCATAATAAAAACTCAAGTTATTCTAACGCAAGCAAGTATTGAAGCCACAACATCTTGGTTACAACTCAACAAATCCTCAACTGCATCTTCGCCACACCATCTTAGTCACATAACTTGGGCAATAAAATTTATACATTTAATCAGAGCTCAAAAAATCCTTTACAATCATTACATAAAACTGCAAATGAAACCCAAAATACATTTGTTATATCTCCAAACCAAATAATACATTGGACTGTCCAGAGTTTAAACCACAGAATACATGGTAAAGTACAGAATTTGCAACTATCCAATGGCTCCCAAAATTCAGTCAAACTACAACATACATTTGTTACACCCATTTTTAGTCGGTCTAGCGCCAAGCTCCTCAAAAAATTATCTATCCAGACCGAAGCATGCGTGAAACTATGTCATCCACCCATATGGCTTCTGCATTATCTCTTTTCTTTTTTTTTTGGTTCCTGCACAAAAAGAAGCTGTAGCTTCTCAATAAATACCAACCCTAACAAAATAATGAATCCACCCATATGGCTTCTGCATTATCTCTTTTCTTTTTTTTTTGGTTCCTGCACAAAAAGAAGCTGTAGCTTCTCAATAAATACCAACCCTAACAAAATAATGAATGAATAAATGACAAACTAACAAATGCAATATAATTAAGATTTATAAATGAGTGTATTGACATTCTTTGGCCTTCTCAATGAGTGTATTGACATTCCGTAGCCTTCTCAATAATTAAGATATGTAAATGAGTGTATTGACATTCCGTGGCCTCCTAATCAATAAAAAACCTGTATGGCATCTCAAGAGAGATATTAAATGGCTAAAAAGTTAGAGATGAAAAAGCTTATTAACATAAACCTATACTCGTTCCAAAAGAACTACGTTTGTGACAATGCAAATTTACAAATCTGGTATCATATTTCTGCTCTAAATAATGACATAGATTTCTGTCATTGCAAACAGTCTTTCCAATCAAATTTACTCTTTTGTACTATTATTTCCATATATTTACAGACCAAGACATCACAGTCAAAACTATTGCTCTGCATTGGAATGCCTCTAGTCATAACAACTTGCCATTTCCTCATATCAACCTCGAAAGCTTCCCCGACATCCCTCAGAAAATGTTTAATCTGCACAATACAAATGAATGAACAATAGCATAGGAAACATATAACATAAGAACAGAAAGCAATATACATTGTCTATTTACAATGGCATCAGTGATATGCAAATGCATTCTGTTGGGCAAGGAATCATATAATCTCCATTTGCGATCCTTCATTGCTCCAACTAGCAGTGTCCAATGTTGGTTCCTGATTATTGGTAGCAAAATTAACTCCACATTCTTAGTGGTATCCTTTGTAATGTGATCTACAAACCCTTTAACATTGCCTACTTTGTGCAGTTGCATAAAAAGAAATATATGGCATAAGAACAACTAGTAATTGAAGATTTATTTAGATGCACTATAGGACATGTGAATTTCAAAATTTAACCAGTGACATGGAGACACATATAAGTAAGATCTATATAGAAGCATTGTCTTGCATCTCTTATTCTCCATTAACATAGCAAAACAATTGACTTGTTCATTACCTAACCACCCGTTTATGAGTAATTCATCAAGATAACATCGAGTTAACGAAACATGTCCCATATTAATTACTAAGTCACCTATGCATTTCAAATATATAATTTAGATGACAAATAAATATAAAACATAGTCAATAATTAAAAATGATACACTAACAAGTCAGTGAATTTGTTACAACAGATATCGATTGTTTCCCGCATATAATCTGAAATTTGTTGTCTAGCGGGAAAATCGACCACAAGTGGTGTTGGACAGACATATAAGAAAAAAACAAGCATTATAAGATGGAAGCATTCAAGTTAGGAGTGTGAAGACTTTAAGGAAACATTTTATACCTTATCAGGGTAGTCTTCATCAACATATTGCATGTCGACTTGGTCCTGATCATCCTCTTTATCTACAAATGATGTTTCATGAACTTCTTCAAATTCCTTAATATGTACAGTTGGTTGATCAGAACTAATGTCACAAGTTATGATTTGTTGATCAACTTGGTCTGCTTCATCTGTATTTACAACATCAACCTGTTAAATAAGAGATATTGTTAATTAAATTAATAAAGAAGAATTTTATTGGATAATGCTTAGGTGCAGACTTCAACCTCTTCAACCACCTCCTGTGTTGGTTTTTTCCTCCTCTTCCGTTCAAAAACCATAAATGGAGAACTGAGAAGCCTTTTTCTTCTGTCCTCTCTTGTTTTAATCCTTTGAATTAGGCTTCCTAGTGGGGACTCTTTAACCCATTTACTTGGAAATGTCCCACCTGATTGTTTTATTGCTTTCTTTAATTCTTTAACTTCACATTTTAACTTTGTCATTGTTTTTTCCAAATTTGTCAGACGATTATTAGCTGAGCCTTGAAAGTCTAAGAACAATTTATGATGATCTTTAAGTAATTCATGGACTTCTTCAAAACCAATTCGAGGGCTAGTATGTGGATATGTATCACCATGTGTTGGTTGAGAACTTGTATGATAAGGAACTATATCATCAAGAACGTCAGCGAATGTGGGAAATTGTGGTCGGAATTGAGTATCCCTTTGTGGGAGATGCTTCCCAAGACTGGATGGTTCTTGAAGTGGAGGGCCAAGTAAATGATGCTCGCTGTCTTTTATTTTAAGAAAATAATCATAAACCTGTAAGACATTACATACAATCAAATTCAATCAAAGTATCACTTGAACATAATAAATTATATGGATTAAGGAACTAAATAACTGACCTCGATAGATTTGAGCCTCTCAAAGGCTAGTTGAATCTTGACAGTATTCCACCTCAGCATTCGTGGTCTAGCCTCAGGCAATGCTGGGAGGACCAAGGACGTGTGCTCATAAAACTAGAACTGCGTTAAACATGATAAAATAATTCATTGCTATGTACAAAATTATGAAAGGAATGTTTAAAAGTTATGTGCAGTACACAAACCGATAGAAGAAAGACAAAACCAGTAATGTAACCCAGTGGCTGATCCTTCCTTAGTTTTGTGCCACAAACATTCAGTTGCTCGGCCAAAAATTCACATACTGTAGCTGACCAATTATACGCTGCAAAAGTTTCTACATTCTTGCAAATAAAAGACAATTCTTTCGACACTTTAAAATTGCTTGAAGGAAAAAGAAAATTTGAAATTAAAAATTTGATTAATAATTGTAAAAGGTTATGAGAGGACTTCCCTGGTGAAAAGTTTAGTAGTGCGGTCTTTATTTGTCTTAAATTCATACTACCAGGCAGAGCATTGCTCCAGCATTCAAGAAACACTATTGGGCATGTCTATCAGAAGTGCAATTTCATCTGCATCAAATTTAATCTCTTTTCCTCTCAAGTTGAATGTCATTCGAGTTGAATGTCATTCGATCAACATCCCAACAATTTATTACATGCATCGTCAAAATATGATCCTGAGAGTAAGGAGGGAGTTCAAAAAATTGAGCCAAACTCATGGCTTCCAATTTATTCCATGTGTCCCCGTCGACTTTTGGTCGGACCTTGTCGAAAACTTCTCGTACTGCAGATGGACGACATCTGCAATTCATTGCTTTTGCATTCAAAAACCTACAAGAATATAACAAAATAATTTAGTATCAAATATATATCCGTTTGACAACAGAAGGTCTTCATTTAAAATTCATTTAACACCATTAACCAAGCTTTCCTAAATGAAGATCTCTGTTGACAAATATGAAAGCATGATGATCTTTATTGTTCTTTTTAGGAAGAGTTTTTAATGTATTAAAAGTGGACTATAATGTGTTGATAAAGTTCTTCATAACCACACGATATCACCATTAACCAAAATAAATGGATCAGAAAGCATAATCTAAATAATACCTAGAAACGGTTTGAATGTCCTCCTTCTTCGACTGCTTACAGTCGCTCTTCGCCATAAGCGTTGCCTCCTCGCATTTCGACTGATCAACTTCTCCTAAATCCGCAACATTGGGCTCTTCCAAGGTCTTCGTAGTCGCCTCCTTATCTTCCATTTTACTCTTCCCTCACAAAAGCAATCCGAAACTATAAACCCTAACCTTGAAAAAGAAGACGATGAAGTAACCCTAGCGGCGCGCGAATCCCTATTTTTCGAATAGGATTTTCTTATTGTGTTTGTTTTTTAATTTTTACCACGGGTTAAAAGGTTATAAGAGGTTGCATGAGGGTTACAAGAGGTTACATGAGAGATACCCTCACGGTTCCAGATCTTGTGGGTTAAAAGTCTGTTTTATTGCAGTTACATTCAAGTTACACGAAGGGTACGCTAGACTGTCCCGCGACGACGAGGTTACATGGAAGTTTCATTCAGGTTACACGCGCGGTACTGCTAGAAGGTTACAACTTAGTTTCAACTAGTTTAGACACACATTATTGGAGGCTGGCCGCGGGAGGTATAACATGGGTACAACGCGGTTACATTCGAGTTACGCTAGTTGGTCGGGTCAACGGGTCACGCACGACAAAAAAATTATTTATTTTCATGTGGGGCCGCCGATGCATACGTGGCTTCCTCCTATTGACTATCGTACGCAGCACTGCATATATCTTACGTGGGTAAATGTTTTCCATACATAAGACTCCCAAAAACTGATGCATATGAATTATTTTTCATTTGCTTGGCCTCAAAGTCATTTTTCAAGACACAAACTTAAAGTGAACTCATCTTCTTAAGTCATGCTAAATCTTGTAAGCATCATTTTGATATAGCTCTTTTGTGATTTGGCACTGGGTTGTGATTGAATATCCATCCTAGCAGTATCCTATTTCATCTTCTTCGATCCTCACGGCGGCCATGGCCTGTGTCTCTGTTGCGCTCTCCTTCCCCATTCTCAGCGTTGGCCGCGGCCATAAGTCCCGAAACATTAGAAAATCCTCCCGCGAAAATAAACCCGCTGCACCTCTTCCATATCCCCCGGCCATTTACTCCCCCGGCGGCGAGGCCACTTCCTACACTCGCCTCCCACCGAAGGAGGACTTCCAACTCGAATCTTCCCTGCACGTCTCCACTTCATTCTTTGAAGTCGTCAAGCTCCGCGAAGCTGTAGTCCCGGCCGTGGATTCCTGGTTGAAAAAGTCTTCTAAGCCGGCAGATTTTTGGGAAGAGGCTGGTGAAGAATATGAAGGAGAAGAAGGGTTCAATGGATTTGAATCGGATGATGATGAGGAGGTCATTTTTGGAATTGACTCGGAGGAGGTCGACGAGGATGAGCTAGATTTGGACGAGGAGTTGAAGGAGGAGGATGTGAAGGAGAAGGGTGTACCTGCGGTTATGCGCTGCTTCGATCAAGCAAAGATTTACGTCAAGGCCGGGGATGGAGGTAACGGAGTCGTGGCGTTTCGGAGAGAGAAATATGTACCCTACGGCGGCCCTTCTGGTGGGGACGGAGGTAAGGGAGGAGATGTTTATGTTGAGGTTGATGGGTCGATGAATTCCCTTCTTCCTTTTAGGAAAAAAGTGCACTTTAGGGCTGGGAGAGGCGGGCATGGTCTGGGGAGGAAGCAGATGGGGGGGAAGGGGGAGGATGTTGTGGTGAAGGTGGCTCCAGGGACTGTAATTAAGGAATCTGGGAAAGGAGCTGTGGAAGGGGTGTTGTTGTTGGAGCTGTTGAAGCCTGGACAAAGAGCATTGCTTTTGCCAGGGGGAAGGGGCGGGAGGGGCAATGCTTCATTCAAGTCAGGGGCGAGGAAGACCCCAAAGATTGCAGAGAACGGCGAAGCTGGACCTGAAATGTAGGCTAATTTTATATTGTTTGTTTTTCTTTAGTGCTCTCAGCATTTTAAATCTGTTGCAATCATTTCCTTTATGATTCTTGAACTCTCCATGATGAGTGTTGAGTGCTAGCTTTGAGTCGTGGAGAGAGTAAATCCCGATCGCATGGGCTACTTATAACACCACACACATCATCGATCAAGTTAGAAATAGAGCGATGCTCACTAACAAGATTTATGTACATGAAAACCATTGGAGGGGGACTGATAAGTCAAGCAATGCCTTTTGTTTGTAGAAAATTAGTATGATATTTGATTGCCACCAGTAATTGGAGAGACTTTAGTACAGTGTGGGCAGTTGAAAAAATTGTAAAGCTGAGGGTGCCAAGTTAAGTCTTATGTATTGTGAGCATTATTGACTTAGTAACGATAGAGTGTATGTCACAGTCATAATGCAATCCCTGTTAAAGGTGACAGCGATTTAGTTCTGTTAGAGAATGGCTATGAAACATGTCTAGTAGGAGATGATTGTGGCTTAGGCTTTACAGCAAGAACACTATGGTGAAGAGGATAGAAATAACATAAGCAAGGTTGTGGCATGTTTTTTTTTTAGTTTGAAAACCTTGATGGTGGGATCAAGGCTCTCCCTCCTGTCAAGGCCTGTGCTCGAACCCGACATAAGGGGACTTACACCGAAGATTGCAAACAATGTGCTACCTCGGCAGAGCAAAGTTTGTGGCATGGGTTTGAGACACTCACCACCGCTATGAAATGGCTTAGACTTGTTATTTCCTTCAAGTATTACTTTTTTCAACGCCTTTCTTACACCTCATCGGATACTATATAAGGCTTATGCCTCACATAATGTGAGACACTTATTGTCTCAATTTTGGCTAGGCATGCATAAATAGGTTTAGATTTTTCCTTAAAATAATAGAAATAGAATAACCCTAATGAAACTCTCTTTACCTAAATAATGCACTATTCAAGATGTACTTGAGGTTGTAATTGTCAATATAGTTTTTATTTTATCATGAAATCAATATTCTTATTAATTATTAATGATAGAGATTGAAGATGAGGAGGAATGGGAGAACAAAAACACAACTAAGAATGTGGTGGGTTAGAAAATAATGCTGTATGTCAATGGTTATAATAAATATCCATTGAGTGATAAGGGTGATGGGGACTTTTGAATTTATAAATTTTAATTTTGGTGGCTTGTTATGTTTTTACATTGGTGGAGGATAATATGAGTAGGAGAGAGACTAATAACTTGTGGATGTAATTGTTTTGTTATATGGATATAATTGCTTTGTTATATGGATGCGTGGGCAGCTATGAGGCGATGATATTAATATTGTTGTGCATGTGATGAATTAGCATAAGATTCATCTTTTTTCAACAAAACTACTTTTGATAGTCAGAGTGGTAATTTGACAAAATTTAGAATGCTAAGATGAAATTTTGGAACAGATGACAGAAAATTCACAGATATAATGATTAAATAGAATAATGTTATAGTTTTGGGTATGAAAAAGAATAGATAAGGTAATATGATTTAAAATTGTGCTAAAGTACTTGTGCAAGATAAAGTCAGCTTTATGTGATACTCAATATTAATGGAGGAGGCTTCATAAAGTGACTCCAGGATAAGCCTGATGATGATAATTCATTGTCACAACCCCAGCTAATGGATTCAATTTAAGCTTGAGTGGATATGAATATTTCCTTCAAGTAAATGGAGTCCTAATTTTTCTTCTAAATCTTTTATAGCTAAAGCATTTCAATGCATCATGCCATTTTGATTTACTTGCATAAACATTCTTGAAAACCTAAATCACGTAGGTTTGGTTCTTCATTGCCTCGCCTTATCAAATTCCCATTATGGCAAATCGGTAGTGTTTATGGAGATGAGAGTGTCAGATTTAGTTGTCTTTTACATGGAGCTACCCTACATGCCATCTTGACCCGAAATCGACTCGAAAAATCTGGATTCGGGTTGACTCAAATAAAATTTGGGTTTGGTTTGGGCTTGGAATCCTAACCCGTTTAATCTTTTAGGTCGGGTTTGGGCTGACCCGCTGACTTAAAACCGACCCGCTAACGTAAAATTGACTCAAAATCGATCCTCCACCCCAAATAGATGTTATGTCTTATTTTAAACAGGTTTTATGGGTCTTATTTAGGCTTGGCAGGTTTTAAGCTTGGTCGGATTAGGGTTGAACTTTTTTACCTGTTTAATGTTCGGGTTATTTTTCTGTTAAGTAATTTCATTTCTGGTTAATTTCGGGTCAGACCCAAACCTGACCTGCTAACCTGATTTGACACCCCCACTTTTACATGATAGTGCTATTCAACTTCATTGAAACTTATTTTTTGATAAGCATAACATCCTCTTAACTTGTGGCAATCTTCCATTTAATTTACTCTTTTGATTACTGCATATTGTTTATTACTGGAATCATATTTCTTTTTCAACAGGTGGTTGGATCTGGAGTTGAAGTTGGTTGCTGATGTTGGTATAGTAGGTGCTCCAAATGCGGGGAAAAGCACTCTTTTGAGTGCTGTAACTGCTGCCCAGCCATCAATAGCTAATTATCCCTTCACAACATTGCTTCCAAATTTAGGTGTTGTGTCAATGGATTATGATGAAACCATGGTTGTTGCAGATTTACCAGGTTTGCTTGAAGGTGCACATAGAGGTTTTGGTTTAGGGCATGAATTTTTACGGCATGCTGAAAGATGCGCTGTTCTGGTATGCTATATCTATTATCAATATTTTTCCTATGCTGCACTGAAATTTAATCATTGCTAGAGGCTCTCAACTTTACATAATGCAGAAATAATCTATTATAGATTATATGCTTAATTATCCTGGATTCATGCAAAATGTGGCACAAATTTATGTTTGATGATGGATATATGACGCTGATAATCTGTTAATATCAGCATAAAACTGAGTTTTTCTTTTTTTTAGCCAAAATTTTCTTGATAGGTGCATGTTGTTGATGGCTCCAGTCAACAGCCAGATTATGAGTTTGACGCAATTCGTTTGGAACTGGAATTATTTAGCCCAAGCCTGTCGGAAAAGCCATACATTGTTGCATTTAACAAAATGGATCTTCCAGAAGCATGTGAGAAATGGGATTCATTTAAAGAATATCTTCAAACCCGTGGAATTGAGCCTTTGTGCATCAGTGCAATGCATAGGCAGGGAACAAGGGATGTTGTTTCTGCAGCATCTGCGCTTCTACTGAAGGAAATGGCTAAGAAGCCTGTAGAAGGTTATTCACCTCTCTCTTTTTTTTCATTTTGTTCAGTAAGAAAGGGTAGATTGTGTGCACTGCTTTTTTTATTAGTTTATAACCTTAGAAAGATCTTTCCACATTGCTTAGGTAGTCAAGATTATTTGAGAACTTGAATTGCAAAGCAGCATCTCATAAAATTGACATATTGTGGGATGAGAGTGATTTTGCTTAAAATCCGTACTGGTAATAGGTGTTGTTTTGTATGTTTTAATTTATTTTTTTCAGAAGTATGAATAGTAATTAACTAAAAGAAAAGAGGAGTTCATAGAAATTAGTGAAGAATAAAGCAAATTTGATTTTCAGAATCATATTTTTAGGCTTTAATTGTAAAATTTTAATTATACCATTGCTTCATCGATCACCAATTCTAATTTCTCAGTGAATTGCATGATAGAGTTCTTTGGCTCTTGGCTGGTGGAATTCTCTATGGTATATAAATCTCTCTTTCATCACGAGTATACCTGCCATTTAATCAACGAACAATAACCAGTGGTTGAAAACTTGTGAGAATATTCTCATACTGTTGCCTCACTTATTGGTTTTATCTTTTCTCTTTGATCTGTTAGTTCATTCTCCCAATTAAATTTCGTTTTAGGATTATCATGTTCAGTTTGCTGTTTTCTCAATTAGAACTTTATTTGTATCCATGAAAATTATTTGTCTATTAAATTTATTTGTGCTATATAGGTATATCCTTGTTTAGATTGTTATGAAAAGCAAATTTGTCTATTAAACAAAATTATTAAGTTGATGCTATTTACTTCATTTTGCTTGCATACTTTTGTGTACTCGGTGGTTATGGTTCTATACTCGTTTGCAGTAGAGTCGACCCTCTCTGAAAATCTAAATCATGTAGCTGATGCCATAGAAAAGCAAAGAAGTGTCTCTATGAGTGAGTTTGAAATCTTTCATGAAAGCAGTTCAAACACATGGCGTGTATTTGGAGCTGGAATTGAACGATTTGTTCAGATGACAAATTGGCGGTATGCATTTTCCTTCTACACATAACTTAATCAGCACTAACTTGGCTTCGGATCATAATCTGATTATTTTCATATGATCGTTTTCTAATAAATAAGAGATCTGTCATTTCCTTTCACATGAATGAATTTGGCATGAAATTGTTCTAATAAGTTCTTGTTTTGCTACTCAAATATGCTAGAAAACCTTTTTAGTGAAACATTAACACGCATGTATACCAATTTCCAACCAAGTTTGTTGGCTTTAGGAAATCCTTGTATGGACATTAATGTCTATTTGGTTGGCTAAAGTGTCTGAATGATCTGAAAAAGTTCATGAAAAATAATTTTCTGTATTAGCCATGACTTAAAACTTTGATGAATTTACTTTGTTCTGGAGCCACCTGATACCACACTTTCTCTCGGTTTTTGGTGTAATCTGAATGCAGCCAAAGTATGTCCACACTAAATGCTACATTCTGTCCCAGATATTGTTCATGTTGGAATAAGTAGCCTGCTACAAACCTCTGAGTATGTTTAGTAATGATGCTTGGTTTCTTATGATTTAGGCATCTAGCTAAGACAATTTGGAAAGCCTCTATTTAGTGCAAATTAGTTGATATCAACAATTCAATCTGATAATTTTATTTCCTTCTATTTTTATGTTTTTTGCTGGGTACTGGAAAATGATGTATCTTTCAATTTGGTGTAGCTTATATGCATATGGCTGTTTCATCGAGAGCTCAGCCAGTTTCTGAAACAAATTCGTTCTAGAATTCTTTCAGCTTTTCTGATGTCAGGATTAGTTTTATTCACATTTCATGCAGAAATATATGAATAGCTTGCGAGGTTACTGGCTTTTTAACCTGCACTCTTTTCTTATTCACTACTGTCGTACTCATAAATGACACAAATTTATGGATTAGGTATAATGAATCTCTTAGAAGGTTCCAACATGCTTTGGAGGCATGTGGTGTGAACAGAGCTTTGAGAAAAGGCGGGGTAAGAGAAGGAGATACTGTAATTGTGGGTGAGGTATATTGTCATTCTTAGTTTTTACAGCTTCTGAGTTTGTCTTATGAATATGCGCTTTAAGTATTTATTTACAACTAATCTAGATACTAATCTTCCAAAAATATTAGATTCTTGATCATTTTTGGTTTTATACAAATTGGATTGAAAAATTTGTTTTTCTGCTAGATGGAGATGGTTTGGAATGATGGAAGTGAACAAACAGCGGCTTTGGGCACCAAAATTTAGTTTCTGGATCTGTTTGATGGCCACAACTTGGCTAGTTCAGAATGTCAATGGTAATAAAGAAAATTCACTTATTTTATTTGGTGTGAGCAATTTATGTTTAAAAATTGGCATGGATGGATATAAATTAATCTGGGCATGAAGTTGATCTTCTAAATATTGTATGAAAGCATCAAATTTATAGTTTTTTTGGTAATTTATTCACGCGAAATCCATGTGAATCCCTCTTTACATTCAATATAGGAACCAAGCATATAACTTGTTGCTATTTCTACCTATTGGTTGAACCATATCATTGACATGGAAGTAGGGGGCGTTACCGAGCCAAGATAACTGATGAGATAGTTTGATTTCAAATCTATAAATGGATCGTGAAATAAACTTGATGAGCCAATAAACCAAACTGGAGCCAACCCCAACTTGACTTGTTAACATGTGAGCTGGCCATTCATAAAATATTAATATGAAATGCACTTAAAAACTGATAGGAATGAGACAAGTTTCCGCAGGATTTAGAGCATAAATAATAGATTTTATTCCGCTGATACCAAATCAAAATGATACAATCCTGAATACATAAAAGATAAATATCTATAATTCGAAAGGTAGATGTCCTTTCCAAAACCTTAACTCTGATATTCAAGACAACAATCACACATAACATAACCCTAAACATATTATTCCCCACATTAATAACTAACAAATGACTAAATTGCCCTTTTAGTCTCGCGTTTTACATATGTTTTCAAATCCTTTAGTTGGCTCAGGTTCGACTTAGTGGAGCACGAGGCGGACGGCGCTGTAACCAGTGGTCTAACCATTTTCCCCTCTCAAAAAGATACTTTTTCCTCAAGGTGGAAGTGAGATTAATTTTGTTGGATCAAGTCACATCCCTCCCACGCGGCGTCATAATCTGACAATCATTTCCTTTTAATAAACACTTCTTTCCCATGCGTCGGTTCCTGGCTCACCCCTTTTAACTGAAGTGGCTTCAAGAGAACTTCCATATCCTTATCTTTTTCCAGAAAGTGCCTAATGCATAAACCATAGTCGATTGGTGCAATCATGTTCTTGCTGTGCAAAATCTCTCTCAATATTCAATCAATTGCAGCACCCTTTGGCACTCCCACTGAACAAACTTTAATTGATCTACTGTTTGGATGACATCAACAACTGTATTTAATATTAGGCCTATCCATAGATGCTGTAACATGTCCCTTGCTTAAATTCTTCCAAATTCAACACATGCATATTTGTTGTTCCATACAAGTAAAGTCTCTCGATGCTTGCAGTGAGACTTAGGACTTCTTTCTGTAACATACTTGAAAACATGCTTTACACTATGAAACCAATCCATATTAAGATGTTTTGTCATTGTAGTCATCCGCTTACCATTTGTAAGATGCAAAAGCGTGCCATCTTTTATTGCCAGCCTCATATTTTATTCCCCAAAATTATCCCTAATACACTTCAATCACTTCCACTAAGAATAACAAGGGTAGTTTTTTGGATCTTTGCATGGTGTTGTCAACGGGTATTTTAAGTCTACGTGAACCTTAATCTCCATCTCCTTAATTTGATCGCCTTCTATGCTACTGGAAGTTTGAACCAGTTCTGTTAGTGTTGATTTGAAACATTGCGGGTAGTGGTATGGGCACATACTAATGGGAGGGAGAAACCCTCGGTCTCAGGGTTATTGTATGCTTGTGTTCTCTTTGAGGCGATAATCCGTGTGACAATTGTAAAACTTATACAAATTATTGTTGGAGCTGTTGGATTGGTGCCAGAACCTTTGCTAACTCTATGTCATGTATCTCTTCTATTCTATGCAACTCGATCGAGATTCCCAACCCTGCATCTTATATTGCCCTAATCATGATCTTGAGTGTCATCAAAGTCTTGCACAAATTAAGGCACCAGAAAGCATCATCACCTTGTCTCCCTCTTGGAACTCCATTTTCAGGAGTTTCATTCATCTTAGTCTCCCGTAAGGGCTGTAGCCATTTCATACCTAATATCACATTAGTGCTCCTTAAAACCAAAGAAAAAAAAATCCTCTATCATTTGAATACCTTCCAGTGTTAAGAGCACCCATTTACAAACTCTCATACTTTCTTATCCTGTCCCATCCCCATGATTACTCCAAAACTTCCCGTGTCAACCATCTCAAGTCCCAATTGCTTCCTACTTGAGTAGAGATGAGGTTGTGGGTGGTCTCACTATCTATCAACACCAATGCGTCCTATTCTCCAATCTGTCCCTGAAATTTCATAGTGTAGTTTGGTATTAACCCCACCACCGAGTTCAGTGTGACTTCTACTACATCCAAGTGAGGGTGTTCCTCCTCCTATACCATAACCTCCTTTGTTTCTTCATCCCTTTCCCCCTCGTCACACATTGTGAGAACCTGTACAGGTTCAAACCTTGCAACAGTGTTCTGGGGCAAACTTTCGCCACACCGAAAATATATTCCGTTGGCTCACTTCACTTAAATTTTTGTCTCTGTAAGATATTTGAATGTCACGCCTGATTGTGGCCTATTATTCCTGTACCGTGGAGCCTCCCTCTGGAACCCTACTATTTAAGTCTTTATTATCGCCATGGTTGTAGCATTTCTATAGAGCTCTCCACTTGTGATACTCCTATTAGCCAATTTCATTACTTTTTTATTTTCAATCAACTCATTAATTCTATAGTTTCCCTCATTCCTCAAAGTCTCAACAGATGAAGCGTTGCTCGAATTTCTGGCCTCAACCTTTCATGAAGCTTCCTTCCAATACTACTTTCAAATTTCTCTCAAACGATCAAATATCATCTCAAATTTCTCTCTATAATCCATAACAAACTCTGTTTAGACAAATGCAAAAAATTGTTCGTATAAATTCCCTTTTCGCGTGGTTTTGAAACACTCTAACCATCAGTCATTGAATTCTTCCCACATTTTGATTGACTGATTTTGCTTTCTCCATTGATACCATGCTAGAGACTCCCTTTTGAAAACAGGGCCGTTGCCCTTAATTTTTCTTTCTTTGTTAGCCCATTAATAATAAACTATCTCTCCACATGATAAGCTCAATCATAAACATCATCTCCTTCAAAGATTGACATCTTCAGCTTCCTTATGTGTGTCTCCTCTCCAATTTTCTCGACTAAAGTTCCTTCCTCCCATGAAGCGGGGCTTGGGTTCCTTTCATTGACCCATATGGATTTCCTTTCTTCCATAAGTCTGGTTCATCCATAATTTGCTCGCCCGTCCTCATAGGCCGCTGAACACTCCCACAACAAAAAGCATTGACGTGGTTGTATGCAGCCCTCGGCCGAGGTCCCACACAACGTGGTTCCCTGTTCTAGGCTGAATTTATTCAAATTGATCTTCTCTAGCCTCAAATTGTACACTACTTCATTCTTCTTACTGCAGCTCTTAATAATCTTCTAGATGTTGCTCGATTCCCTTCAAATGCTGCTGCTCAAATATGCTCCTGATTTCTTAGCTTGATCCTAAGACTCCAGATCTGCCTAAGGCATTGAAGCTGCCCTTATGCCGCATGAATCCTTCTGATTCTTGCTACTCATATCAGACACCGTCGCTCGATCCCACGATAGGCTGTGGCGGGTTTGTGTGGAACTCCGCGATCTTTTTCATCATTTCTTCGAGGGCCGTGAATCTCCCCTCCATGGATTAGAACTGCCCTTCCATGGACGAGAAACACTTCAATTCCAAATTTGATTTTGCTCACCTTTCCTTCTAATTTCTCCTCTAGAGCATCTGCTTTATTGGTTGCCATCAATTTTATAATGGTTTTTGATCAGGAAGGCGAAACACCTGTACGTTGCGATCCCGTCGTTGGCTTCTCAACAGCTAGAATCGTGACTATCTCGCGATGTTCGGTGACGCTGGGCGTATGCCCCTTAGGCATGACAAAGGCCGCGATCTTTGCCCCAGACCGGCTTTGTCCAGGCAATGGTGGGACCAGCTGGTCCTTTAAGGCATGGGCTTCCCTTATATTTATAGTGGGGTCCACTCTTCTTTAATAAGTATTTTTTTCGTGTTATAGGGCAGTTTTTTCTTTTTGTTTACTGTTAGGACAGCCGCTGACATCCAGGTTTTTCTTTCTAGGGCTGTATCCGATGACGAGTGGTGCTCTAGTTATATCTTGTCGGAGGTTCCTCGACCTTTCCACTTCTTTGCAACCTTCCCTCCACCACCATTGTCATTGTATTTGCTGCAACCAACCGAAAAAAACAACCTTCTTACTGTTTTCCTGCAGCGGCTTACCACCTAGCCTCCTCTCACCTTGTTACCATCCCTCACTGCCGCCCTTCCAACTACCAAACATCCCGAATTATTTCCTTGCCACCTAATCGCTGTCTTAGCCACCCGCAACCTCCCCACCTTAATCCATAGCCATTAGCATTCTCCCTGTCGCCAGTCAATACTCTCCTTTCCCCTCCCTGCAATCCTTCTAGTGGGGCCACTGGCTTTATCCCTACCACAACTCCAACGACCAGTTATTACTCTAGCCGCCCCGTTCCCCTTCTATATTGCAACCCAACCACTGCCGCTTCCTCCTCTCTGCAACCATCCTACCATCAGCCGCACCTCCCTCCTGGTGTTCCCATCGCACCCAATGGCCAACTCCCAATCTCCTTCACCGGTTACCACTATGGGGATACAATTTTGTTGAGTTTGTTTGAGTTTCCCTTTCAAGAGTGTTTCGTTGTAACCGTGTATATATTTTCAATAATAATATTTGCTTTTCTTATCGTGGATTAGGTTAACTCTGGTATCATTTGGTATCAAAACTAGCTTAACACTAATCCTATCCTAGGGTTTTGACATCTACCAATACCCAACCCTATCTCTACCCAACACCCTTTCCCTTTATCGATTTTTCCAAACCAGCCACTTGTAAATTTTATTTCCCGCTCTACATCACCTCCACACACCCTTTCACTCCTTCGACCCTAAACCCTAATCATGCCGTAGAGTATGCAATTGCCAGACATTTATCAAAAGTTTACCATAGAAGAAATGCAGTGAGAACTTTGTCGAGTGCTAAAACGACTCGCTAATATTGAGGAAAGGTCCCAGGGAGAGTTCACTGTCAAGCGTGGTAGACTGGTAGTGGTAGCGAGATCTGATGAATAGAGTGTAACATTTAAATCCATTCCGTAAGGATGATTCCAATGCAGAAGAAGACATGCTGCGACACTTTGGGATACAATATCAGAGTAGACCGAGAGATTAATTGCCTATTGAAGGATACAAAGACTCACGAGTGAAAGTGGACATACCAAATTTCGGGGGAGAATGAATCCCGTTGACTTCATAGAGTAGTGGCATACCATCGAGAGGATTTTTTAATACAAGGATGTGCCAGATGTTCGAAAAGTGAAGCTTGCTGCTTTTAAGCTAAAGAAGCACTTCGTTGTTGTAGAAAACTTGAAGAGGGAGAGAAATAGAGACAGACGTAGCAAGATAACTATCTGATATGATGAAGATAGAGCTGCAATGATAGTACCTACCCTCACACTATTGTGAGGATCTTTTCTTGAGACTCCACCTGCATTATTGTCACCTATCAGTGGAAGAGTACTCATCAGAGTTTATGAAGCTTAAGCTTAAATTTGATATGATGGAGCCAAAAATAACATATAATAGTCAGGTACTTGAGAGACATGAAACCCATTATCGACAACTTGATTCAACTACAACATTACTGGTCTTTGAGTGATGCCCAAACCTTAGCACTGAAGGTGGAGAGTCAGCAGAAGTAGAGCAGACACCCACCACCATTCAGACAACCACCCACAGTTGGAGATATCAGTAGGAGCACACCTAAGATAGTTGAGAAGTTTGATCAGGAGAGTTATAAAACTGCCCAGAGTGAGATGAAGCCTGAGAAGAACAACACCCCTAGTACTCTCAGCCAAGAAATGTTTCAGATGCCATGATTTTGAATACATCGCTTCCAGTTGCCTGACAAGCCGAGTTGTGTCCTTTACCGAGCAAGTTGCAGTGGAAGGAGTTGGCAATGAAGAGGTAGTTGAAGAAAAGGGCGAGTACCAAATTCACTGGTTGAGGACGAGAGGCTTGTAGTTTAACGGGTCTTACATATTGAGGCTATGTGGGATCAACGGTGGCTTTATCATGATATATTTTATACCCTTTGCTTCCTGAAGAGAAATGTATGTAGTCTTATCATCAATAAAGAGAGCAATAAGAATGTGACATCTACGCAGATTTTGGATAAATTGAGTCTCATGACTTGGAGGTATTCTCAGTTCTATTTCCTGATGTAGCTGAAGAAGAAAATAGAGTCAACATTGACAGAAAGTGCCTTATACAATTTTCGATCGGGAACTAGCTGTAGGATTAGGTATGGTGCGACTTGGTGCTCATGAATGCCTGCCACATCTTGTTGGGGAAACTGGCATTTTGATCGCAAGACTCAACATGATGGATACATAAACATCTGCTCCATCACCTGATGGAAAGCGCATCATCCTTCTATTTTATGTCAAATCCGAGATCATAGGTGCCCTTGCTAGCAGAGAAGTGTGAGTGGGATCAAATTTGGTGACGATAGAGGATGACAGAACTGAGGCGCCGATTCTAGATACGGAGCAATCACTATATAGAGAATTTCAAGACATCATGATCTATACCGTACCGCCATGACCCCCACTATTTGGGGAGGTTTAGATTACTCTCACTTTAAATCAGGTTGAGCTAACCTTGGGCTATTTTGGGAGGATTCAATATAATATATGTGACATGAAGTCTCAGTTCAGTTCAGTAATGTACCCCCAGAAGGTTGGACTGATATGGATGTATGCTTCCAAGTGGAGGTGTTTTGTGGGATAGTGCAGTTGTCAGTGGGATTCATGTGCTTCTTAGGCCATGGTAAAAAATCTTTCAATCATTGGAGGTCACATCAACTCCATCGCCTTCAACTTTCAGATAAGAGCTTCGACGAATGAGGTCGAAGCTTGCCCAACATCGGGAAACTGACATGGGGCATCCACGTCTGAGACGCGAAGAAGGTCGCGATCTTTGCCCTGGACTGGTTCGATCCAGGCAAAGGAGGGACCGCTCTTTCTAGGCATGAGCTTCCGTCGTATTTGGAGCAGAGTCCACTCTTTCTTACCCTAGGTATATAATTATGTTGTTTTCGAGTCCATGGGCGGTTTTTTCTTTTTGTTTTCTGTCAGAACAACTGTTTGTGTCTAGGTTTTTCCTTTTAGGGCTTTATCCAACGATAATTGGTGTTTCAGTTATATCTCGTTCAAGATGGTGATTATCCCTGACCTTCTCAGTCTTCAACAACCTTTCCTCTGCTGCTGCCGTCATCATATTCGCTGTAGCTACCCAAAAAAACAATCCCGTTGTTTTTCTGCAGCTGCCCACCACTTAGCCTCCTTCCACCTTGCTGCCATCCCTCACCTTCTCCCTTCTAGCAACCAACTGCCCCGAATCACTTTCCTGCCACCTAATTGTTGTTTCGGCCACTTGCAACCTCCCCACCTTAGTCCATAGCCCCCAGTGTCCTCCTTGCCTCCGACTGGCACTCTCCTTTCCCCTCCTTGTCACCATCTAATGGCCATTGACTCTATCCCTACTGCAACTCCAGTAGTTGGTTCTTACTGTTGTCGCAATCCAACCATCCCCTTTTCCTTTCCCCGCCGCAACCTATCCACCGCTTTCTTATCCCTGCAACCATCCTAACTTCAACCCCTCCACCCTTCTGCCATTCCCATCTCACCCAACGATCAACTCTCAATCTCCTTCACTTGTCACCACTCTTGGAATATGCTTTGGTTGAGTTTGTTTATCTGTTGTTGTATTTTCCTTTCAAGAGTGTTTGATTGTAATCGTCTATTTGTGTTCAATAATAATATTAGTTTTTTTTTTATCCTGGTTTGGGTTAACCCCAAATATCATTCGGTCACGAGGGTGACACCATCGGGCTTTCAAACTAGATCGAATCACGATTGTATCGCAAGGTTAGGTCACGAGGGCAGCATTGTAGGGCTTCCTAGCTAGCTCAAATCGCGATTTTATCAGAAGGTTCGATCACAAAGGTGACTTGTGATCTCATCATTGGTTTTCTAACTAGCTCGAATCATGACTGTATCTCGAGGTTTCATCACAAATGAGACCCGCAATCTCATGTTGGTTTCTCAACTGGCGCGAATCATTATTGTATCATGAAGTTTTGTCACGAAAGCAATGCAAAGACGATTTAAGAACTATATGAGGTGGAGCTGCGATCTCAAATGCGAACAAGAAAGATTTCTAGCGGAACAATGGATTAGAATGATTTGATACCAATTTGATGGGAAAGAGTACAAAGATTAGGACAAACACAATATTTTACAACCAGCAGCTTCGACCGTTAATACACCCTACGCCCCCTCCCCCTCCCCTTCCGAGTTGGATATCAAGGTGAATGTCGATGGAACTTTTCTCTCCTCCAACATTGTGGTTGTTGGAATCATCATTCGGGGACAATTGATTGTGGCTTGGACCATAAACTTTTGTCTTGGGACAGCACATAGGTAGAAAATATTGTGGTTTTATCTCTCCACAAGGTCATTGAAGATTGGATGACTGAGTGCAAGGGGATTATCATCGAGGGGGGCAATTTCAATGTTATGGACAAACTTTAGGTGTGTCATGGACAAGAAAATTTGGCAGCACAACGCTCCCAACAATCCAAATATTGGTTCCTTGCTTGAATTTAAGAAAGTTTTGTTCCAACATTACCAACGGAGAAATCAACACATCAACCTAGATTTGTGCAAAAAAGGCTTTGGATGGTGATTTTCCTTTTGCATCATGTCAATGCTCACGATCCTTTTTTTGTCTTCTACAAGAGGATAGTGTCATCTTGTAAAATGCCCAAGGGGCATAGTTTTTTTGTTTTTGTTTTGTTTTTTGTTTTTTTTTTTTTTGCTAATTTTGTAACTTTTTTGTTTTCTTTAATGCAAAATTTATTACTTCAAAAAAAAAAAAAAAAGAGAAAAAAAAAATTAACACAACCTAAATACATAAAGGATAAACATCTACAATTCGAGAGGTAGACAATCCTTACTAAACCCTATCCCTAGATTTAAGACAATCGTGTACACTCATAACCTAAGCCTAAACATATTAAGCCCTTTTATTTCCATGATAATGACTAACAAATCTTTCAATTGCCCTTTTAGCCTTGCACTTAGCACAAGTTTTCAAAATTTTTGGCGAGCTTTGCGCCGACATAGTGGAGTATAAGACGGACAGCGTCGTAGGCACCGGTCTAACAGATACATTAAAATTTAATGGTTTAATTAGAAGTTATTAAAATGTTTATAAAATATATTTTATTTGCTTATTGTATGTAATTTCTTATTATTTCTATCATTGTTGAATTTTTTTTTCATTTTATTATAATAATTACTTGAATCAAAATTATTTTCTTTTTCATAGTAAATAATCTGGCTCTTGTGCTTGACTTCTACTCGTAGAGTTAAGCTCGAGTTCGGGCTCGAACTCGATTAAGCTCAAGTTGGGGTTGGTTTGAACTTGGCTTGACGCATTTACACCCTTATATGGAAGTGTAAATTTACAGTTTTACACATGGGCTCCAATCATTTTAAATGTTGTTCATTCCAATATTTATGCTTGTCTTTTATAATTTTGTGTGCAGCTCCTTTTCTCAATGAAAGTTCATTCCAAAATTTGTTTTGTTGATTTTTTCCCATTAAATATCTTTTTGAACATGTAGGATATTACATGGTGACGAGTGAGGTATACTGTAGCCATTTTTATAACATTCACGATCTGACACAGATAACCATTTCCAACAACCATTTATAGTTGATTTTACTTTTCTTGAATCCTTACATTATTAAGCTTATATAATATTGAATATGTGATCTTAAGGCATTTTTGCGATGTCAGTATTAACTCGAATTACCTGATATTTAAAACAGCTAGAAGTTAGTGAAGCCATACGAAATCTAGAAAGATGCTCAAGCTTAGCTCTTTTAAGCTCCTGTTTCACAAGGTGAGGCCGGAGAGTCTTTATTTATTTATTATAATTGTTTATTATTATTACCAATGCTCTTAGTTCTTTTCTTATTATAAGTTAGAAAAAAAAAAGAAATTGAAGAAGATGCCAAGGTTCTATTTTGCTTAATTTTTCAGGACTGAAAAAAAGAAGAAGAAAATGAGTTCTGAGTTTTGGCTGGCCTATCAGTGAACTGTGTTGGAGGATGGATGTGCTGCTACAGTTATTGCTGGTAGAATTACATTCGATACTTATAGATCCTGTAATGTTTTGATTTGTACGAAATGAGGTTAGCCTCAATCTCTGCTGCATTTAGAAGTTCCATATATTATTATTATTATTTTATTTTTAATTTGGTAATCATCTGTGTCTATTATGGTGATATTTCTTTCATGTTTTTATAAAAATAAGGGGAATTTACTTACATAGCACCCAATTCTTATGCAGTTACGAATCTCACACCAAAACTTTCATTTTTACAAACACAACACCCAACTTAGACCTTTCATCACACTTTTCAACAGTGAAATCCATATTTTCATACATAGGTATGGCGCTGTGTTTGTAAAAATCCAAGTCTTGGTGCGAGGTACGTAAATGCACAAGAATTTGGTGCTACATATGTAAATTTCCATACAAATAAAGCGGGATTTGTATACATACAACACAACTCTGATATATTTATATATCTAACACCTAAGTTTTAATATTTATTTATATAACACCTAAATCATTAACATCACCTAAAAATATCATTAATATTCATCTTTTAAAGGGTAATTTATCTTTTTGTGCATTTGATGTGATTATGACATTAATTTATTGTATAAATAAATATCAAAGTTTCAATGGTATATGTATAAATTAATAAAATAGTGTGGTATGTATTTAAATATCCCAAAAATAAAATGTTTTTGTGGAACAGTAGTTTTATTATATGTTGTGGTCTTGTTCTAGCTAAGATCAATTAAAAGTTATGTACATTGCTGTTTTTCCTACAAAATTTGTGTATATGTCGCATGTATTTATTCTAAGCTTGATTCTTATGCAGCTGTGTTTTAATGCTCTTTCTGTAAACTAGGTTCCTTAAAAAGTTGGTCCTGAAAGAATATTATATCTTTACTTGGTCCATCGTTGTCTTTATTGTTGCCAAGTAAAATAATATTTCAGTCACAAAAAATATTTTTGATTCATAAACGTTAAATATACTCTAGTCATAGAAAATGTGCACGTATAAATTTATACTTTTTAAATGCTTCATATATAAATCACAATTTTCCTGTAAAAATGTTAACATGGAAAAAAGCCAAATCTTAGGGAATTCAGATCACTCGCAGGTGGAAATACCATGTAAGTATTTATTTTTCTAAGTAAAACACAGTTAAATAAAACAGAGAATTAAGTGGCAGTGTTTTGAATTTTAAATTGGATGAACTGGTTCAATTTGAACTAGGAATTGGATGCTAGGATGTTTGGTTTGATTAAAAAATTGTGCTGTTTGGTTGACAGAATTAGGAGTGCACTGTAAAAGGAATGTAGAGATTTTAGAAACCTGTGTTTGGTTGGAAGAAAAGGAATTTAGAGGTTTTAAAAATCTGTGTTTGGTTGGAAGAAAAATAAATGCAGTATAAAATTTCAGTATATTTGGAACTCATTCTTTAGTTCAATTTAAGCATTTGGAATTCATTGAATTTAGAGGAGTTTTAAATACACCGCTAGTGTGAAATGTTGGCTGCTGTCGTCATCAGCCACCGTACCGCTGGCCTGCCACTGTCATTGCCCGCTAATTACTGCCCACCAACCACAGCTTATCAATGGCTCATCATTTCCGCCTGTTTTAGCCGGTCTTCACTTGCCGGCCGCTGTCACTTATCTGTTGTGGTCTACTAGCTTCTACTGGTGGTCGCCACTGGCTACCGTACGTTGGCTACCGCATGTCGGCTACCGTCGCTGTTCAGTTGATAGCTGGCCCCGACATCCACCAACTGAGCAGCGGCGGCAGCAGCGATAAACATATTTTTTATTGATTTTATTTTTTTTATATTGATTTTATTTTTCTTCAAACCAAACTTAAAAATATAAAGTCCTACATTTATTTTACACGGCCAAATAATTTTAAAATATTCCAAATACATTGCATTCCTTTTTTGCTTTATTCATTTTTCAGCAAACCATACAGCCCTAAGAACTCTTAACCAACTCTGATTCAAGCGGATAAGGTTCAAACAGTTTAAGCGGAACAAGAAATTAGGGTATTTGTTTGACTCACGTTTCTTGTTGTGCAAATTTTGATTATTGTTAGATAAATTCTTACCATCAATACTTGAGCCTTCATATTCAGTCAACTCTAAGTAAGTCTAATATTGCAATGAAAACAATCAACGAAATCCATTATTTCATATAGATTCATCATTTACATCTTTCTCAAAGGGCAATTGATATGCACATTAATTCCCATTTAAAAGACCAAATAAAGCTTCTCATTTACAAACAAACCACTGAATCAGATCCATCTAATTCACAAACCAAAAACAAAATAAAAAATAATATGGTCACACACCTGCTGTTACTTCAAACAATCCTTGGAAGCTCAGGAGATGGAATGTCGGCGCCTTTTATGAAGAAGCAATCTGGCATCGTGAGTAGTCTTTGGATTTAGTGGTCTAATAGCACTCAACCTGAACAATGAATTCAGCTTGTTCAGCTTCTTAGCAAAAGATCTCAATATTTTGTTGGCTGGATTTGCTCTAACCAGCTCCTGTTTCATTGAGACATGGTCCTTCTCCAAGTCTGTAAGTCTCATTCTCATTCTGGCAACCTCAAGCTTCAGTTCCCTATTCTCTCTTCTCACTGAAGCATAGTTGTCTCTCGGCGATATCGCTCCGCTTCCTACTCCACTTCCTGATCTGTGGGGAAATTTGCTGTTTACAGGTCCAAAGAAGAGGTTATCATGACTTCCATTCATGGCATTTCGAAGCCTTATTTGCTCGAAGTAGAGGACTTGTACCGCCATTTGGATTGGCAGGCGGCTGGTCCCGCCATTTGGATTGGCAGTCGTTCATTCTGAGCAGCATGGCTGCAAGCCTCTTGAGAAAGTTTCTGGCAGTCGATCGCCTTGCAGAGCCGGTATCTCTCGGATTCCTTGATGTTTTGATGAACCTAAGATTTTTGAGCTTTTATCTTGTGATCTATATTGATTTGTGCAATCTTTTGAGGATATTTTTCTGATATTTTAGTTTAGCAATGGCACTTCAGATAGAGCTTATTCGTTCAACATGAACAAATTGATCATTGGAGTTTCAGAAGAGAAACAATGATCAATAAAAAAAGAGTGGAGTACCGAAATAGTCCCCTGATTATTTGCATGGGGCCATTTTAGTCCCAAAGTTTGTAAGTGTCAAATTTGTCCTCAAATTTTTTTAATATGGGCTGAAATAGTCTCTAAAGAGGACTATTTTAGACACCTTTAAAAGAGTATGGAGACTAAATTGACACTTCTATAGACTATAATTAAAATGACTCCCACCAAAGATCAGATGACCATTTTGGCACTTTTCTCTAATACAAAATTATTGAAAGAAGAAGACTTCCTTCTACTTAAAAAAAGAACTCTCTAGTCCTATTGACATTATGTATAATTCCTAAAGATTTATGAACCTAAACGGCAGGAAAAAGCTAATTCTAACTTGTGTGGAAAACCAATTTGCAAGTCAAAGAACCACAATCACATAGTATGTTTTACCTTCAGGAAGATATCCACAGCTCTGTAAAGTCCATCGGTAACCAATCTAGCATGAGCAGGAAGCAGCTCTGCAAGAGAAATAAACTTCGACGCATTCAAGTTTATATCGAGGGAGACCTCTGCAAGATAGCTATCCATCAATTTAGAAATTCTAAGTAGCAAGCTATGCTTGGGAGATCTAGGACTATCATATTCATAGCTTCCATCTCTCTCCCTGAAATGAACCTCTTCTTCCTCCTCCTCCCCTTCCAAATTCAAGAAGATTGAAAATATCCTCATCACAGAATCAGTATCATACAACTGGTTATTTCCATCTCCATTAGAGTTTGCAGGAATCAAAATATCTTCAAGTATAGCTTGATCAAGCTGCAGCCCAATTCTCCTCTCCAAGTCTGCCTTAGAAACTGGAGAAGCTGAAGCCATTACTGCAGTCTTCAGCAGACCAGAGAGGAAAGACATGGGAACTGGACTCTTCCTGGACTGAGTTGGGAGCAGGCCAACAATCGCCTCAACCATGATCCTACTCTTCTTCCGAGCTTCAGAATCTGACGAACTTCTGTTATCCTTTAGGATGAGCCCATTCAGAGAACTATGTGCATAATTGATCAATATCTTACTAACTGTGTCTTGTTTCAGTCCTTTTGACTTGATTGCAGACATTACTCGCTGAAAGAAATCCAAGTTTAGAACAGCCAATGACTTTCCCCACCACTCTGAAGCCTGCTCAGTCTCTGCTGCCATTTTCTTTACATGAAGGCTTTGATCAAGCTTCAATAGTCCTGAGCTCAGCTGTTCCTTGCAGACATTTGATGTGATGCAGGCGATGATTCTGCCCACCAAATTGATCTCCTCAGCCACCGGAAGGAGGGTTTCACAATGCCGGAGAACGGTTATCGAGTTTCTGATGCTCGTGATGACTGACTCCTTGATATAGAGCTCTGTGCGAAGCTCCAAGTTCCTTTCGGAGAATTCTTCAGTCATTTGGAGATAGTGAGCTGCGCAGCGAAGCATGGCGACATTTTCAAGTGTGATTTCTATGCTGATTCCATAACAGAATTTTGCGGCTAGCTCGAATGCTTCAGCGCCACCGGGAATTTGCTGAAAATGTATTCGTATCGGCTTTGGATCTGCAGATTCTGATAGGAGTTTTCGAATCTTTCCGCTACGAGAAACCAGTGGAAACTGTGAAGAATTGTGAACTGTGAATTAGATGGCAATGAGGTTTGGTGTTCTTAGAGCTGGAGGAGCTAACCTTATGGAGTGGGAAGGATGATGTACCGATTTCAATGGTGAGATCACTGGCAAACTCTGTGAGGGGCCTGGTAGAACATTTATAATATGGCTGGGGTCAGTTATATATGTATATTTGATTAATGAAGTAGTTAAGTCACATAATTTGTTTTTAGCCCACTTGAAAGTCTACCAACTAAATTAGTCGGCACCTTGAGTTAAATCTAATGTTAAGTTTTACTTAAATGAGTGGTAGGTTTTACTAAAAAAATGATTATCTAATGTTAAGTTTTACTTAAAGGTATGATTATTACTTTTTAATAGTCATTACTCTCACTAGCTCAAGAGGAGGTTAATGTTTTAAGTTTGAGTTGTAATATACATTTTTTTTTTATATTTATATGTCTAACACAAGTTTATGGATGCTTTTACTAGACACTTACAGGAGGATGTATCTTGGTGTATGCTTTTCGCTGATGATATCCTTCTTGTGGATAAGACTAGAGAAATAGTTCAGGAAAATTTGAATTATGGAGGTTTACATTGGAGTTTAAAGGCCTTCGTTTGAGTGTAACGAAAACTGAATTCATGAAATATAATTTTAGTAGTAGTGGTAATTCTAATGACAGAGTTGTAATTATGGGTGATCAAATTATTAGAAGGTGTGAATGCTTTAGATATTTTGGGTCTCTTGTTCAAAGTGATGGTTGGTTGAAGTGGAGGTATGCTTCGGGCTTGGTGTGATAGAAAAGTACCGCTTTGGCTGAAAGCAAAATTTTATAAGATAGGATGTGAGACTTGCAATGCTCTATGTTGTAGAATGTTGGCCTTTAAAAGCGAAGCATAAAATTAAGTATTGGTGAGGTGAGAATGCTTAGGTGAATGAGTGGCTTTACATTTGGAGACAATGCAAAATGAATATATCCGTGATAGGGTTGATATAGCTCTTGTGGAGGACAAAATTAGAGAGAGCCGTCATAGATGGTTTGGTCTCATTAAACGTTCACCATTTGGTGATCCGGTTAGGAGAGTAGATGTTTTAGATTCGACTTATGTTAAGAAAGGCAGAGGTAGAACTAGAAAAACTTGGGCATATTGTATAAAAAATGATCTTTTAATTTATTAGAATTAAATGAAAATATGACATTCAATAGAAGACAAAGGAGAAAAAAAATTCATGTAGCCGGCCGGCCCTATTTAGTGGGATAAAGGTTTATTGTTTTTGTTGTTGTTGTCGTTGTTGTTGTATGTCTAACACAATAAATTTAACAAGTTCAGATGATTGATATGTAAATACGTAAGAATTGAGTGGTTTGCATGTAAATTGCCCCTTAGTTAGAAATCCCAAGTCTAAACAAGAAAGCTACTATAACATAAAAGGTTTAAATCATAATTAATCATTTTCCAACTGAGATCTAACTATTAATCAATCGCTAACTAATAAGATCTATTACTGTGTTCTCTAATTAATTTATTATTAATTACCAGAGGTCAAATGATCCCCTACAAATTTAGATTAGCATCCTAATCGCTATTTAATTCCTAAATGTTTGGTTAAATATTTTCATAATTTGTAATAGTACAATTAAGGACTGCTAGAATTGCTAGATCAGCATAAAATCTTTAATTGGCATCTTAATTCTTCATTTAGCACTACAATTTTTGCTAATTCATATTTTAATTATATAATATTTTTGTACTTTTTATTTGAAGAAAGGGACATTTACATGCATAACACCCAATTCCTATGTATTTACATAATTACCAATTGTCTCATGATAATATATATATATATATATATATATAT